GCGAGATTAGGTGAAATCAAAATCAGAGAGTGCAGCCACAGAAGAGGAAGAAGAAACATAGCATCGAGACTAACGCCACCGATTCGAACACCGTCACCACTTTCCAGACAACATCCTCGACCACTACGGACAAGAAACTCAGCTCCGGTCGACGCCAACTCGGCCTGTAACCACCGCCTGAAAACCACCTCGGCACATATCCAAATGAAGTGAGTTGGATCGAACACCACCGGATCGCTGACGACATCGGCAGCTAAGTGAAGTGAGAGTCTAATGAGACGAAGGATGATGTTAGCCAATTGAGGAAAATGAAGCTTTTTATGGTGGAAAGAAAAATGGGAGCTTTTATTTACACATCTCTTGGTTTTGGACGTTGATGATGCGTTGGAGATATTTTAATTTAACGGTATAGATTAATTAAGTAGTAATTTATTTTCGAGATGTGTGGCTGTTATTGGATATATTGGGATCTGTCTATTGTTCTTTTGAACTTATTTATTTTCCGAAAAGAAAAGGAGAATAGTTCCTTCCATCATTGTGGCAGGTTGAAAATGTGAGAATTTCGAAAAGAAGTTTAGTTTTACCAGTTTGCCTTTTAACTTTAACAAAATTGACCAATGTGATTATGCCTTTGTGGAGACAACACTATGCGTTCGAAACCTCCAAGGTCTTAGCTTCGAACATTGGTCCCAACAAAAAAAAAACTTTAACAAATTTTTTTTTTGTCAAAACTTTTTTTTGTTTTTTCACTGAAAGTATATTGATTATATTGAATCTGAAAAACTTACAACAGATAAAAAAAAGACCATTCATGAAATACAAAGAGATCACATTGATCTTCCCTAAACCTACAAACATATAAGGGTGGGATTTTGCGATGAAACAATGATAAAACCAAACATAGCTTTTGTTTCAAGTCATTCGAAAAACAACCAAAACGAATTCCCGCACAACAACCTTTGAAAACGGGTTTCTAACACTTTTGGCGATGACTAGAAAACAAAATCTGGCTTTATCCGGAAAAGTTGAGTCTCATTTTATGCGTTGTCTTTGTCCAAATTATCCTAGTTGAGATAACTTTAAAGAAACAATCTCAAATACTGTCGGACAAAGATAGAACAGCAAAAGCCTTTCAGTTGCCACAACAAGATAATCAGAATACCAAAGGACTGAAATCAAACAGCCTGTAAGAACTAAGAGGAAAAAACCCATCCAAAAGCTCTATCTCCACACTAGACTTAGGTTCTATAGTTGATGAAGAGAAGCGATGCCCCATCTAAGGAAAACGTCAGACTCAACAGAGGGAGCAAAAAGCCCCAACAAAGGGAAACGAAAGCCTCAACAGAGAAAGCATAACTATGACCGAACTTCACCAAAACCAAGGAAGAAAACTAAATGAGAATTATAAACCCCCTTAGGGAAAAGCTTCATCTCCATACTACATCTAAGAGAGAAAAACAGAGACAAGTTCTCGATCAGAAACGGGACTCGATCTCTGCCACCTCCGAAGACCTACTCCGGCTAAGGCTGACGGCGAGAGATCCAAAACAGCTCAGACAGAAGAAGAGATCTCGAGATCTATAGAACCGAAGACCTCACTAGGACAACCAGATATGAATCTTCCACTGCTACCACCGAAGATCTAGACCAAGCCTAAAATCCAAACTTCACTTAGCCAGAGTATCGAGCATCATATCCGAAGCCAAAACCCTCAAGAAGAGCCTCCGATTGGATCCTATAAACTAAAGCCGATGAAAAGGAAAGCAGAGAGACAATATACACGGGCTCCAGCATCGGCTCTGAGGAAGCCGCCAGACCCAAACACATAAAGTGACGGTGAGATCTACTGTTGCGGCGGCTAGGTCTTGGAGAGAAAATAAGGGTTTTTTTCTTCCTTTTTGTCAAAACTTCAAGTATAATTATTCGTTTTCTACTAAAATATATATTATCTTTTAAATAAATTATAAAATACATAAATTTATATTGACTCGACCAAACTATATATAAATTAATCAATTTTAACAGTTGTTTAAAAAATTAACCACAACAGTGGTTTGAGATTAGAAAAGAAAAATTCAAATAATTTCTGAATCAAAACTCGAATCTCTAATTCTCAATTGTAGATCCTAAAACCAACAACCAAAAATTTGATAAATGTAAAAAGAGAATTAAGATCTAAATCCTTGATATATATCCTAGATAAAATAGATTGAAATAATAAAATAGATTTGTATTAATATAATAAACGAATCAAGATTAATACAAATGATTTATAAAGAGATGAAAAGAATGTATCATAGAGTAGCTCGCATTAATAAGGTACGAGGTGATTTTGTGTGAGTCTTAATAATGAAATTGGAATTGACTTCTTCGAAGCCAACCTTGTTGTATTTATAGCACGTCAGTCATACTCAACTGCTCATATATTCTTGTAACATATTTTGTTTCACGATCCCATATCGTCAGCTTGACCTCCAAGATTTCCTCCATGACTGAGTTTATTTGTTACCCTCGAGCTCCTCTTCGGCACGTAGCTTGTAGCCGAATCTTCTAAATATTCTTCAAGGTCTATCTCGCAGACTTTGCTAAGTGATGGGGTATTTGTGTGGTGGACTTTTTGGTGGACTCGATTTGGTATCAACCCAACACCAACAATTGTCCCCATCACTTTAAGCGATCAGCATGAAGCTTGAAGGGCGATGTCGTTCACGAAGTGATAACCTCACAAATATTTCTCACAAAGATCTCTCTTAGCAAGATATATGATGAGATCGCATTGATCTGACAGGTTCAAAAATTTTTACAAAGTAATTATCATTACTTCTTGTAAATGATGTATGTTCTCTTGCTTTAAACCGCTCACGCTTTCCCACTACCAAGGTAAAAACCG